ACTTCAGATCCTCTGTCCCCCTCTCTCTCTGCACCTCCCCCACTTGTACGCTCTCTCAAACATAAATAAAGCATTTAGAAGAACTTTGTTATCATGTCTTTTATTGACAAACAAATCCTTTACTGAGATCTGGGCTATCTGGAACTAAGTGAGAAGTTTTCTGGCATAAGGTGCCACCAGTAAGGCACTACAGGGCCTGGCTCCTAGATACTGTGAGAATCTATCAGATCCCTAGCACCTGCTTCTCAAGCTATCCATCTAGCCAGAAGTGTTCTTACTGTAATTAGAAAACATTTTGTGGAAAGTGACTGTGATTGTTACTGGTCACAGCAGGGAGAAGGGAAGGCGACCTAGCACACAGTAGGCACTTAACATTTCAGAAGAAAGAACAAAAAAATGAAGGGTCAAACATGTATTAAGCATTTGCTGTGTGCCAGACACTGGTAGTCATTTTACATGACTGCGGGCCATTAATTACTCCCATTTGACAGATGAGGAAACTAAAGCTAAGAAAGACAAGAGACTAACTCAGAATTGCACAGCAAAGATTCCAAAGTTAGATCTTTGTGACTCTAAAACCTATGCTTAATTTGCCATTCTAGGCAGCCTTTCTCAGAGAGATCTTGTTCTTGCAATAGGCCGGGCCTTTACCAGGCCCTCTTGTTCCCTGTAGGGCAGTGTGTACAAGAGGTAGTAGTTCCAGGCCCCAGACTTGCCCCTTTCAGCCTCCTAGTCCTTCCTCCATGTGCCTCCTTCATGTACCTTGGCCCCTTGGCCAGAGAGAAAGAAACTGCTATTACTAGAGATCTTGTAACTTGTTCCAGAGATTTATTTCTTTTGATGACTTTGGGATGCGAGGAGAAACATTTGTTTGCACACAGCTTTAGCTTGTGGCTGCAAAAAATCAATTATAGATGCTTCTTTGAATGATTTAGATTTAAGGAACAGCATTATTCCCAACATAGCTAATATTTTTGGCCTGCTTACTATATGCCAAGCATTGTTCTAAAGTAAGCACTTTTATGTGTTGATTGATTTAATCTTCACAACCAACTTATGAAATAGATATCATTGGTGTGCTACATCTTTTAGAATGAGGAATTACAGGTGGCTAAAGGAACCTGCAGAAGATCACAGGTAGCCAGAACCCAGGCCGTCTGGTTCACTGTGACCATTGCATCCTCATAGGATCTCTGGGCTCCTTGAGATCTTATTCCAGATTCTTGCAGAACATAGAGTTCTAACCAGAAGGAAGTGGCTTTAAGATTTTGTAAGGGACGGGCACCTGGGTGGCTCAGTCAAGTGTCGGACTTCGGCTCAGGTCATGATCTCGAGGTCCATGAGTTCCAGCCCCACGTTGGGCTCTGTGCTGACAGCTCGAGCCTGGAGCCTGCTTCAGATTCTATGTCTCCCTCTGTCTCCACCCCTCCCCCGTTTGTGCTCTCTCCTCTCTCTCTCTCTCTCAAAATAATAAACATTTTAAAAATTTAAAGAAAGATTTTGGGGTGCCTGGGTGGCTCAGTCGGTTAAGCGTCCGACTTTGGCTCAGGTCATGACGTCGCGGTCGATGAGTTCAAGCCCCGTGTAGGGGTCTATGCTGACAGCTCAGAGCTGTAGCCTGCTTTGGATTCTGTGTCTCCCTGTCTAGGCCCCTCCCCTGCTTGTGTGCTCTCTCTCTCTTTCTCTCTCAAGAATAAATAAACATTAAATTTTGTTTTAAAAAAAGGCTTTGTAAAGGGAGAAGTGTTAGAACAAGTAGATACATATTTTGAATCTAAAATGCAAAAAAACCCAAAGACATCCTAATTTCAGCCAAGTCAGACCAGAGTGCCTCTGTAACCCACCTACTATTCAGTTAGAAAACACTATGATACATGTAGGAGCAGGTTAGTGAAATTTCCAAGTGTTGCTTAAGTCTCAAAACTGGTTCAAGTATAGGTGTAGTTTGCTTCCTGAACTCCATGCATTTCCTCTCAGTGCTCTGCAGAAGGAATCTGATTTTTGCTTCAATGTTCATTATCAACTGCAGAATATGTTCTCAAAGATCTCCTGTACCCCCTGCCCTATTAGTGGAGATTATGAGGAAAGGAACACTAGGACATATGGTGCCTAATATGATACACTGTAATATGGTGCAGGGCTGTGTCTGCTGTGAACTCAGTCTATAATTAGCACATCCTTTTAAAAATATTTCCAGGTTTTTTTTTTAATTTTTTAATGTTTATTTTTGAGAGTGAGAGCAAGATGGAGCATGAGTGTGGTAGGGGCAGAGAGAGGGAGACACACCATCTGAAACAGGCTCCAGGCTCTGAGCTGTCAGCAGAGTGAACCGTGAGATCATGACCTGAGCCGAAGTCAGATGCTTAACTGACTGAGCCACCCAGGTTCATCAAAATACATATACATATATATATATATATTTCCAGTTTTACTGAGATATAATTGACATACAGCCACATCTTTTTTTTCCTCTTCATTCTGTGTTTTTAGTAACTTCTGAGTCAGAACTCTCACACATACCTTAAATATATTTTTCTTATAAGAATTCCCTAAGTTCATACATTCATATTCCCTCCAGAATGTTCTCTTGTCTGCTAATATAGATATAGTCCAGCCAGAAAAGCCCTTACATGCAAAGTTTTATATTATATCAAGTTGTCCCTTTGGCAATATAGCATTATGGCTAAAAACATAGATTCTGGAGTTAGCTTACCTAGGTCTAAATCCTGGATCTGTCATTTACTGGCTGGTGACGTTGGTGAACTCACTCTCCCTCTCAGTTCTCATGTTCCTTATCTATAAAATGGTTGTCATGAGCATTAAATTTTATAGATATATCTACACACACACACACACACACACACACACACAAACACATCTTAAGACAGCTTCCAGGGCATGGTAAGCACTATGTGAATATTAGCTAGTATTGCTTGTCTATTAGTGTTATTAGCTTAAAAACCTACATGTAAAATGAATACCTCAGATGAGCAATATTGGCATGCCCAAGTTTCTTTTGTGTGATGAATCAGTAAATAGCTGTGGAGCCTTTTAACCATTATTTTTGACCTTTATCTAAGTGCTGCAAGTAGCTGCAAAAATGACTAATGAGTTACTCCTATTTTTCCTTTCAGACAACTAGAGGTTAGCAAAGGTACAGTGACACAGACAGGTGGAGGGTAGAGGTGGCTGGTAGGCAACAAGAATATACTGGGGGGTTGGCCTCCTTCTCACATAAACCATGGGTGGAATTACTTGCCCTTCCATCACTGAAACTTGACATTGAAGCTTTTCTATTTCCTTCCTCACACCAGACCAGAAGCCTTGATGGCAGAAGAGTCCAAACCCAAGCCAGCATGGAGCCAGAGCTACTTCTTTCCTGAGGAGCAGTTCTCTTTCATGGGCTGGAGCTCTGAGAAGCAGCACCTCAGTCCCATGGGCTTCAGTGAATCCAAGACAACAGGGTCTGCCATTCCACTTGTCAAGCCCCTGGGTGCCACTGGTCCCATTTTTTCCCCATTTCATTCTGCAACCATGGAGGAGACTGGGGCCACTGGGGATATGCCAGAAGTGGAGAGATCCTATCCCTTCCCAGGCCAAAGGCCTGCCTCACAGGCAGTCTCACAAGAGCTCATGAGATATGTGGTAGGCCGTGACAAGTCCCTGGCACGGGTCTTAACCCCAGCTTCCAACATGGTGACCACTGCTGAGGTCATGGGTGACCTCTTTGCTGTGGGAGATCTGCAGTGGAGGGGCCATTTCAAGCAGGAGTGGCACCATCAGGAAAGAAGAAATGATGAGAGTGTCCAGGAAAGCCACAGGGTGCTTTTGTAAGCAAGCCGACTAGATAGAGCAGAAGCAGGTGGGGATCTGGGATGGGTAGGAGGGAGGTCAGCAGTCTTGGAGGATGAAGAGGTAAGGTCTCAGCCATATCCCTATCACCGCCTCCTTCCCTGGGGATTCATACACTGGGGCCATAAACCCATGGGCATCATGGAAGATCAGAAGCCCAGAATTTTGGGGACCTGCCAGTTTTTCTGGATCTTAGTGGGGTGATGAACAAACCAAATCATCTCTAAAGAAGTCCCCCTACCTATGAGAGTCAGAGAGTCAGAGAGGCATAGAAATAGCCTCCCAAGTTCTCAAAGTTGGCCTTGACTTGGCTTCTAGGTAATCTTCATGTGGCCTGTTTACGTTTCAACAGTGCTTCCTGGTCCATTATTTCCTTATTTCATAGCTCCATTGGTGAAGCGGGGTCCCATTTTTACAAATGGGGAAATCAAGAAGCAGAAAGGTCAAGAGCCTCTCAGAAGAAGTGCTCAAATGGTCATTCTTTGTTTCCACAGACAAGAGTTTCAGCACTTCTCACCTCCTCCAGGGGCCCCAGGGATCCCCACCTCTTACTCAGCTTATTACAATATTTCGGTGGCCAAGGCAGAGCTGTTGAACAAGTTGAAAGACCAACCTGAGATGGCAGAGACTGGCCTGGGAGAGGAAGAAGTTGACCATGAACTGGCTCAAAAAAAGGTGACATTTTTTTATATAACTTAGATTTTCAGCATTTAGTTTAAGTATCTGGAAGTTGACCTGTCCTCTACGCTTCTCCAGAACAACTTGGTATATTCCCATATTTTCAGTATGGAAATCAAATAGCTTCTCTGTGTTTCTCAGAAATGTTTCTCCAGTCTCCTTTTGACCCAGCAAATACTAGTAATAATAGTAGTAGAAATCATAATCATCATCACTGTGTCTCTTGAATCTTTAAAATAATTTGACAATGATCCCCTTTTTGCTGGTTGAGAGGATTAGGTTGCCCAGGGTTACAAACTAAGTGGTAGATCTAGGACTTGAAGTCAAGACTGTCTCACTTTCTACTTTATCATGACATTTCCCTCTGAAATAAGCCAGCCTTGCAAGTAACTCACCTCCCGTGGCACATCAGAGTTTTTGCCAATGAGTTCTAACCAATCCAGCCACTGACTGTATTCTCTGTAACTTTCTGGGAGATGGAATAGATTGACTAAGCAAGAGAAGGAGAAATTATGGCCTGGTAAACTTTAGTATTTATTTGCAAGAATAATCAATACTTTCTTAAAAGCACTAGAATGATCAACAGAAATTATGTTGTTCTGAAGCCTACCCATTCTTTCTCTAAGCATCACTAGGCTGGTTTTCTTTTTTTCTTTTTTTTTCAACATATGAAGTTTATTGTCAAATTGGTTTCCATACAACACCCAGTGCTCATTCCAAAAGGTGCCCTCCTCAATACCCATCACCCACCCTCCCCTCCCTCCCACCCCCCATCAACCCTCAGTTTGTTCTCAGTTTTTAAGAGTCTCTTATGCTTTGGCTCTCTTCCACTCTAACCTCTTTTTTTTTCCTTCCCCTGCCCCATGGGTTTCTGTTAAGTTTCTCAGGATCCACATAAGAGTGAAACCATATGGTATCTGTCTTTCTCTGTATGGCTTATTTCACATGGATGGAACTGGAGAGTGTTATGCTAGGCTGGTTTTCTAATCAAATTCCTGGAATCACTTTGCCCTCCCTGTACTTACCCATTTTATTTCATAAGCAAATAGGATTTCCATGGCAACCCCAAAGGCCCAATTTGACACTTTGTGGACAACTGAACTCAACACAAATTGCTCCTCTGCCCATAATTTTCATTCAGGATGTGACCTGTAGGAAAACTGAAGGCCATTTGCAAGAGACCCCCCCCACCACTTTCAAATCTGAAGCAAAATGTCAGGGAAGTAATTGAAATCATGGTGGTATCAAAGTTTTATTGATCCAGATGCCTACCTCCTTGGATTCCGTGTTCCCTGAGCATGGCAAGGCTGCTCCCGGCTTACTCAGGACCTTTCTTTAGGAGCAAACCTAATAAGAGTCTGACCAGGAAAAGAGAAAAATGACCAGAAATGGCAAAGGACAGAACAGCAGATAGTGATTTGAAGTGATTATCGGGGGGGGGGGCGAGAAGTGAGGCAGCTGGTTCAGTTTTTGTCTCTGAGGACAGGTGAAGAAGGTCACCTATTTGCAATATCCTAGAAAAGCAACTCAACTCAAACAGGGTCTGTGATGACTCCTCAGATCTATCCAGTACACTTTCTCCAGGGTTGAAGTTCAGGTTGCAAAGCCCAGGTGCCAAGAAACAAAGGGTTCTCTTTTCTTGCATCCTTCTAGATCTTGGGAACTGAAGAGCTGGGGTGGGTAGGTGATTTTCCAAGTTGACTGTTTGGCCCCCACCCCTCTCTTGACCCTGGCACTGACTTTTGTTTGGGAGAGCAGAGGGTAGGTATATAACTGGGAGTCTTTGGTATCTAATTGTGTTGCCTTGTTTCTATCATTGATTCCTAATTCCTAGTAGGTTTTAGAATTTCCCCTAAATGTAAACCTATGACACTTCAGATTTAAGATCATGGTGATCTCCTGACCTTTGGCCAGTTTCGAAATATGATAATAGGCCCTGGACCCAGATCAGGCTCTCTTGGTCTTGGTCACCTTGGACATGTCTAAATAGCTTACTAGAAAGGAGCACATGCTAGAAAACTACAAACCTATGTATGGTCCCAGAGTACCTGGGAAGGAATAATAATAAAACAAGCACTGAAGCAGACTTCAGTATATACATACAAGATACAGAATACTATTGTAAGCATGTAACCTGTATTAGAACAATACTATGAGGTAGGTGCTATTGTTTTCCTATTTTTTAGATGGGGAAATTGAGGGGCACCTGGGTGACTCAGTCTGTTGAGCCTGACTCCAACTTAGGTAATGATCTTGTGGTTTGTGAGTTTGAGCCCCGTGTCGGGCTCTATGCTGACAGCTCAGATCTTGGAGCCTGTTTCAGATTCTGTGTCTCCCTCTCTCTCTGCCATTCCCCTGCTCATGCTCTCTCTCTCTCTCCCTCTCTCACTCTCTTTCTCACTCCCTCTCTCTCTCTCTCTCTCTGTCTCTAAAAAATGAATAAACATTAAAAAAATTAGATGGGGAAATTGAGTCACAGAAAGGTTGAGTAATTAGCTCAAGGTCACACCAGTGCTTTGTGGCAGAACTAAGGTTCAAGCCCAAGTAGTTCTTGCACTAGAGTTCATGCTCTTAACCATGATGCGATGCTTGATCTGCTGGGGCAGGTCAATTCTCCTTAGGACTTTGCAGTAGACAATCATCTATTATCTCAGAGTGCCTGGTAATAATAATAATAACAATAGCAGCAGCAGCATCCACTCTACCACACTACCTTCCTGGGAGTGGAGTTCCAGAACTGGTTATACCTACAGGGAAGACAAATCAGAAGACACAGGCAGTGCTTCCCTTAAGAAACTTACCATCGGTTGGAGAGGGAAGATGGCGGCGTAGGAGGACGCTGGGCTCACCGCGCGTCCTGCTGATCACTTAGATTCCACCTACACCTGCCTAAATAACCCAGAAAACCGCCAGAGGATTAGCAGAACGGAGTCGCCGGAGCCAAGCGCAGACGAGAGGCCCACGGAAGAGGGTAGGAAGGAAGGGCGGCGAGGCGGTGCGCCCTCCACAGACTGGCGGGAGGGAGCCGGGACGGAGGGGCGGCTCCCCGGCCAAGCAGAGCCCCCGAGTCTGGCTTGCAAAAAGCGGAGGGGCCTGACGGACCCTGTTCCGACAGCAAGCGCGACTTAGCGTCTGGGAGGTCATAAGT